TAAGAGTAACATTCCACAAGTGTAGTGTTTTATTAATGTAATCATATGGTTATGCAGCACCCACTTCTGAGTTTTGTCTACAACTACTGCCCCCTATTTTAGACTGCTGTATACTTACAAAGCAGCTTAGTATGAGTAGCATATCTATCACATGACTGCAGTCATTTGGTAATATAGTATAAATGAAAGCACTACAACAACTACAAGAAGTTGTTTAGTGTCTATGTATCTACCTAGACAGTAGATGTTAGGGTGTAACGCTCTGCTTATTGGTTGTATTTATCAGACACCTTCTTCTCTGGAGTTCCCAGACCTGCTGGCCCCCCTGGGCCTCCTGGCCCCCCTGGTTCTCCTGGGCAGAAAGGAGCGCAGGGTAGGCCCGATTTGGGAATTTACCCAACAACACAGCCCTCTGTATAATTTACACAGTACTCTGGCAGTCAGAAACACATATACATTGAGATTTACATTAACCCAGCCTAATGTTAACGTGTATTACAACAAATACTTCATTTGCAGGGCCGAGTAAGAGGTTCTCTTGCCAATTTTAATGTGTCTGACTTTGAGATCTTCCTTCAGTCACATCCCACAGTGTCATCAAAACACTTTCAGAGCTAGGCAGAAATCCCATTCCATCTCTATCTATCTAATATGTTAAACCCATTTACCTTTGCAGGTAGCCAAGGACCAAGGGGATTCCAAGGTAAAATCCTCTTTCCATTGTATTTACCTGCATAGGTGCTGTATTTCGATTTATTAATATTTTTAACTTGATATATGTCTAACATCTGAATGAATCCAGATAAGGTAAGATAGTAGAAAGTGTTATGGAATACTTTTCTGCTTCTTTCAGTTAGATATATCTATTCACATTAGTTAAATATTCCACGGTATGGATAATTGCTCATGGGAGGCAAGGTGAATGAGCCCTAATTACTGTATAGGAGAGATATAAGGTACTTGGTCTCATTTTTGCTGTAATGCATGCCTGTATGATGCAGTAGGTTGGTGATGTCAGTGATCATAGCAATCTTCTAACTCTTTAGGGGAACCAGGTCAGCCTGGTCTTCCAGGAAGTCCTGGCAGCCCTAGTGAACCCGGACGAGGTGAGTCAGACCTGCTGAGACAATCTAACTGCTTTAAAAAATAATATTGTTTTTATATTGTGTGCTTGTAAGGGCTTTTAGGGCAATATATAAGACAGCAACTACCTGGGTGGAAGTCCTGACAGAGTTGCAGTGAAGAACTGATTGTGTCCGTTGTTAATGCTGCGGTTCCACTCCTAGGTTCTCCAGGCCTCCCTGGTCCACAGGGGCCCCCAGGCCCCATGGGACCAGTGGGACCCCGAGGGCCAGAGGGTGCTAAAGGCAAGTAGAGTGAAACTCACCGGCGCCACCTGTAACATACACTCCCCAAGTTCTCACAGCACTGTCCTTCTGCATCTCTGTGTGGCCAAAGATTCAATTTGCAGCAGCTAATGACAGGAAGGAGTTAAAATGGAAAATAATATAAAACTGATTTATCTTAGGCTCCGCATTTATGTATGTAAGATCAAAGCTCCGTTGACTTGCATTTGTACAGTTTGCTGTTGGTTCTTCAGATTTATTTTCTGTTCGCAGTGTTCCCAGTCAGTTGACAAGGCCACTATATAAAATGAGGACTGGCTCTTCATCAACTTACCTAGTGAAATAGATATTGCATGAATAATTTACTTTAATTTTAAATCAAGAGGTCATTAAAATTGGATATCCAATGCATGTCTAAGCCTGCGGTCCTCAGTCATGGTAGGACCAGAAGCCTTTTTTAACATTTGCTATGTTACTGTCACCTGTTCACAGGTGAGGCTGGAGTTCCAGGCGCTCCTGGAATTCCTGGATCATCGAGAGGTTCAGGTAAGCCCCACTCCCACGCCTTGGCTTTATGTTTCTCTCAGCATCAGATTAGTGTAGACATCACATCAGTGTATATCTGTTTATATGTATGATGCAAAAGTCCAAAATTCTCAAGTTCCGGTGCTTGAAATTTGTCAAAGAAGCTGGAGTTTTTATGCTCTCTCCTGGTGAATAACATGCTGAACTAACTGAACAATATGCCCATGTTTGCTGTACCAGGTTCAGCATCCAGAACCTTCCAAGGACCTCCTGGGCCACCTGGTCCTCCCGGGCCACCTGGTCGAGATGGTTCTGGAGGGTCTGACTTCCGTCAGTACATAGCAGAATACCTTCGAAGTAAGTCTTGCCTCAGGATTACTGCATCAGTTTTGCACCAAATAAGATCTGGATATGTGTTTTATTTTTGATTATCTTGTAACTACTAATTTATAGTACATGGTATACTAATACTAGTACTATAGTACATACAGTATAGTACAATAATCAAGACAGTGTGCAGTGATTCAGGTGTGATACATCCCTTTCAGGTGACAGTGTCAGGCAGTACCTGGTTGGCCCTCAGGGTCCCCCTGGCCCACCTGGAGCACCAGGTTTAAGTGGACTGTCTGTGGAGGACATAGCGTCTCGTGTCATTGCCTACCTTCAGAGTGAGTTATGGGAGTGCTTCTGTGTACTTGGTCTGCCGTAAACCTTGATAAATAATTTGTCATATTGGACCCTACCACTGTATTACCAATGTGCATGTTTTCTTGATGTCCAATGACATGACAATAACAATGTTGATGCAGTTGGCTTTAATCAATGAGAGTTGTCACCAGGCCTGAGAAAAACAAAGACATATTCTTTCATAATTGTTGAGGAAGTATGGCATTTATTTTAACATAATTTATTTGGCAACTGATTGCTCTTGCTTCTAGCCTGTTGATTGTGTTCTGTTTATGTACTTATCGCTTTATTCCAACAGTCAGATTTTACTATTATCTTTATTATTTTTGACATATTTTACATATTGATATTAATTTGACATATAGTCCACTGTTAACTCTGTGGCTTTTTTACTGCCAGGACTCCCTTGTAAAAGAGATTCTAAATGTTACTGGGACCATATCCTGGTAGAATAGAGGTTCAATAAAATAAAAATAAAAATATATAAAATGCATCACTGCATTTCATGTCTGTATAGTGTAAATGCATGCATTCTGAGTACCTGTGTTTCTGTTTCAGGGACAGGCTATGTCAGTGGTGTCAGCGGCCCTCCTGGCCCTCAAGGTCCCCCCGGACCCCCAGGATCTGTGTCCGTCAATGACATCGTCTTGCTGCTACAGAGTGAGTTCTCCGTTTCACTAAAAAGCAGGACCTGAGAATGGATCAGTAGACCGAGACAAAACTGCTCCATCAGAATTGGAATATAGTGCTGGATTCAATTAATATTTTCCTTAACACTAACAATATAAATGCAAGAATTACCGCCTCTTTGGAATACAAAAAAAAAATATTGCATTAATTTTGCTGATCACTGAACTTGACAAGCTATGTATGTGAGGAAAAGAAGAAAAACATTTATTGGTAAGGGAATGTTAATTTCTTCTTTTTCCTCCTGAGATTTACTTCTGATAATCTGAAACTTTGTGCAACCCTTTTAGCATGCCATTATGTCTGTCAGAGTGAAGAAGATATTCACTTTATCACTTATATTCAGAGGTTGAATGCCTCCCTCTGCTAAGATGTGTGCTGAGATGCTGTGGTGTGTGGAATGATGGATCTTGTAGTGCATTGTGGGTAGGGTGACTCCTCTGTGGTCTTATTCAGGGGATGATGTGCGGAAGTACGTGATTGGCCCCCCTGGACCTCCTGGACCTCCTGGATCATCTGGGGGTGGAGTTTATGCCTCTTATGACATCAAGGAAGTGGCCGATCGTGTCCTCAGACTAATGAATGGTGGGTCTGGAATTTGTGCTGTTACTTGACTTCAGCACATACACCAAATTCAGTGCTCGTTTGATAATGAAATGTATGGGTGTCTTTTACATGCATACTTGCACACCCATAACACTGTCTTCAATATGTTTTCAAATCTATTTTTATTTGCCATTGCTCTGCTTGCTGTTACCTTTTTTGCTTCGTATTAATGCATGGTAAGCACCTTAAATAAAATGGGTAATTTCAGTTATAGGCATAATGACAAACTGATATAGGTTGAATGGCCAGTCTGCATTAGCAGAAAAATCTAGCTGTTGCTTCTCACATAACAAGGGGCTTCACAAAAATGGGAAAAGAGATATAAAGACCTCATTTTTTGGTAAAAAAAAAAAAGAATAGGTAAGAAGGCATAAGTCATAAAAATTGGTAAAACAATGCCTAAATCACTTTAAACCAAAGCCAACTAACTCTCCACTCAAACCTATCTGTTCTCTCTTCTCACAAGCTTCCTCATATTTATACCACCTTTGTTAATTGGGAGGTGTGGCCAATCAATTAAACAATTAAGGAGTTATCCAATGCCTGAACAGTCTCACATTCCCACGCATGCAAACACTCAGTGAGGTGAATTGCATGAAATAAAACCTTTGTTATGGCAACATTTATAGAATAATGAAACAAAAGGCCGTTAAACATACATATGGATTCAAAATCATGTAAATAAATTAAACATACAAATACATTCATACTTTACTGTATTTACTACATAAATAATTTCAATAAATGAACACACAGGGGAGACATGTCATTATTAGTAAAGACTTTTTCATCTTCTGAAGCATTCATTGAAATAACACATTACATTACTGGCATTTAGCAGATGCTCTTATCCAGGGCAACTTCAATCAGTTACAGGTTTTTACATGTTATCCATTTATACAGCTGGATATTTACTGAGGTAATTGTGGGTTAAGTACCATGCCCGAGGGTACAGCAGCAGTGTCCCCATGGGGTATTGGACCAGCAACCTTTCGGTTACAAGTCCTGCTCCTTAACCACTATGCTTCACTGCTACCCTGCAAAGCCAAATTATCCTATATATGTCAGAAATTCTTTATTGATAATTCAGTATTTACCATGTTGGCATTGTAGATGTTAGATGTTGGCATTATATGTCACAATGAAAATTCATCCCACCCAGTTTTGAACCAGGGACCTTTCACATGTGAGGCGAACGTAATTACCACTACACTGCAGAAACTCACATATAGACTAACAGAACCACTATGGATGATTTTTAGCTCAGCATTGACTGGTTTCTCTCTCTCTCCTCAGAACGTGGGATGCTCCGAGCACCTGGACCTCCGGGGCCTCCAGGGCCCCCAGGGCTTCCTGGCGCAACCTATGGGGACATTTCAGCCCTCCTGGAGAGTAAGAGACTGCATTTACATAAAACAGCACAGACAGCGCGCGACAGCTCAGGGAGGACATGGGCGCTTGCAGTCATGTCCACATATAATCAAGATGGTTCAGATCAGACTGATTCAGTTTGGAACTTTCAGGACAATTAAGTTCCTGTTACCGCAACCCACCTTAAAGCTGCTATTTTGACAGGGAGGATGCAGCCTACATCTAATCAGCTGTTTGACCAAGGTGGCATAGAATGGCATTTTTTAAAATTAGATTTGAAGGCCAGGGAATTTTTAGTGGCTTGTGATGCTGTTCCAATGTTTCATCCAATTCCTCACCTGTCTGAGAAATATCTAATGAAACCTCTGTTGAATTATTGAACAGCATGGCTGATCATAAACTGAAGTAGAAGATTAGCTGGGAGATGTCTGTCAATGTGATGTTTTTTTCATCTGTAAAGCCGCCACGCTCTTAATTCTGGGCCATTCACCTTAGAGTGCATGTTAGTGTCAAACCCTTGTCATCATGCTGCTCTTGTGTGTTAGTCCTCTGTGCGGGGGGATATTCTGTATGCATGTCCAGTCTAGTACAAGTGTTTATATTTCATCGAAGGTCTCTACATTCCCTGATATTTGAGGCTTCTCTCTTGACAACTTTATTTTGAATTTTTGGATGGTTTGCTCTTGTAAAACGACACTCGATCGTTTCTTTGCTGAGTTTATTTTTCTTGTTTTACTCTCAGAGTCTGAGTATCGCGGGCTTAGGGGACCCCCTGGGCCCCCTGGAACAACAGGGCCTCCGGGGCCACCTGGTCGCCCAGGGACATCGTCCAGCAGCGTTTCAGGTTACGGGTTGGAGGACATCCGGGTCTACCTGCAGAGTGAGCTGGGTTTAACACTTCCATGCACCCGCACGTGTGCATTACATAAAGAGCACCTTTATTCACAACATGCCAGTTTTCTTAAAACAAAAAAAAACCTGAAGGTTACTTCGCAACCATCATTTAACATGTGTGTCTCATCATAGCTTTAAGATAATATTGTTTTTTGGAAACAGTCTAAGCATTTGAAAACCAGACCCAGAATTTTTTTTTTCGTTGGAGACACAGAGCGCATACCAAGTCAATGATCTTTCCCTGGAGTTTACTGTATCACAAAATTACTCCTCAGTTTCCTTTAAGCCGCTGTGTATTTAATGTTTCTCAACAGAAATGCAGCTCCCCTACTTACAGTGGGTTAGGGGTTAGAACCAAATAATTAAAGCCATTTTTGGTGGCTTGGCTGTTTTGCTGACCCCTTCTCCGTTTCAGATTCGGGATTCAGTGGGCCGCCTGGTCCCCCAGGACCCCCCGGACCTCAGGGACCTCCCGGAGACTCCAGAGGGCTGGTGTCATATGTGGGCAACACACAGCGAGATCGCTTCCGCACAGAACTCCAGGAGTATCTGAGAAGTGAGCCAGCTCTTTTAGTATGTTTGCAGCATGGCATAATACTTAAGGAGCTGGGCTTGTAATGGTTGCCAGTTCAATTCCAGGGTGGGACAGTGCTGTTGTACCTTTGACCTTAGTACTTCTGTCTGCTTTAGTAACTATCCAGCTGTATATATGGATGGCAGTTAAAATATAAGTTGGATAAGGGCTTTACTAAAAAATATGCAGTGTAATACCATCATAAACCTACCAGCCAATAGCTGTGCAGATTCATTCATGTTCATTGCACAGACTACACTGTTTTTCAGTCTGCAGTTCACTGTGAATTTGGTCCAAACAAAGAGCATGCTAATTGTGTAATTTTCATCACTAAAGAACAAGATTCCCCAGTGTGCTTGTTCCTTTATCTGTGATGAGCGTCACTGATCAGCACTGGCTGTCTCTGACTGTAGTATTGTTTCTCAGGTGACAGCATGCGGAGCTACATCACAGGGCCGCCTGGTCCCCCTGGTCAGCCAGGCCCACGTGGACCCAAAGGAGATCGTGGCGACCCAGGACACAGTTACGACCACAGGACCGTCGAGCATAGGTACGGCCAGGGAGACAAGTGGGCTGAAAGACTGGACTACTCTAACGTGGCTCTGAAAGTGACTGACTACATCAAGGGTAAGTACCTTCGATGCTTCACAATTACTTCTTGATGGCAAGAGAAACTGAAAGTACTTTGACACTTACCTAGATCTTTTAGGAAATCTTTCCAGTGAACTGGTTTTGTAAAAAATCTGTGTTCTAAGCAATAACCATCGTGCTCTAGGTATAGATGCAAAATCAAGCGCTACACATTGCGTGATACTTCATGCACAGAAAGAGGCGTATTGTTTACCATTTATTTTGCTATTTATTATTTTCAAATTATGGAGCATTGCATATTTCCTCAGATCAGATAATACTTGGGAAACTTACTGTGCAGACATTGCACCGTATCAACTGTAAAGTGTTTCAGAAAGCTGGCTGTTATAAGATTAGTTAGCGCAGAATATTATTAACAAAATTAGCGACATGATACTGCTCACCTCCCCCCTCTTGTGTTGGCTGCTGGTATTGCAAATTATACAGCCTAACGCCTGTGCCCTCCACCCCCAGCCCAGGGTCTGCTGCGGGATGTCATCTATGATGGCTCTCACCGCATTGATTCGCGGGTCATCCAAGGACCCCCGGGCCCCCCCGGTCCACCCGGACCCCCAGGGTACATCCGCTACACGGGATCCTACGGCAACGTGACCGCTGAAATCATGGACTACATCAGAAGTGAGGACACGTCTCGATATGTTAGGAAGGATCTAAGCTGCATTAGGAAAAAGAAAAGGCCATTAAAATTAAATAATTATTATTACTTAAAACTGAGCCAGTCAAAATTGTAAGACATCATTTACAGTGCAAGTGATATGAAAGCAATTTCACTTGCTCATTTTGAAGTCAATTAATGGGAAAGATATTGATTTAAAATGTACTTTACAGAGTAAAGAAACTTGGCATTGCATGCTGTTTTAGGGACAGCCCTTTGTTTGGTAATCACTCACTGTTTCTTATTGATGAAATTTACTTCTTCATCTGCAGTGCATGGCTCCATCGCTGGGCCTCCCGGGAGACCAGGACAGAAAGGAGACAGGGGGTACCCTGGACCAAAAGGAGACAGAGGTACAGTACCATCTCTGAATCAACAACATTGGAGTCCACCCCTGCACTTGGGTTATAGAGGTGCCTTTCAGCCAGGAGATGGTCGACACCAGGAGCAACTGGTGATTCCCATCCAATCAGGGGAGTTAATTATGTAATTAAGTAATCAACACCTGGGCTTTAACAAAGACCATAAGCCTGTGGTGGGTAGTACTGATTTTCATGCATGCTAAAAGTGATGACCTGAGGCACCTAAAGCAAAATCAATGCTGGACATGCTGGTTGCAGCTGTTTGAGAGCCTTGACACTGACAGCAGTGTAGCATAGTGCAGGACTCGTAACCAAAAGGTTGCTGGTTCGATTCCCCGCTAGGATGCTGCTGTTGTACCCTTGGGCAAGGTACTTAACCCACAATTGCCTCAGTAAATATCTAGCTGTATAAATGGATAAAATTGTAACCCTTGTAAGTCACTTGGGATAAGAGCACTTGTTAAATGACAATAATGTAATGTAGAGACCTGAGGGTCATGTTGAAATAGAAACCATCAAAGCTTTAGCTGAGAGCTGTCTTCCTCTCTGCCCTCAGGTGAAATGGGACCACAGGGTGTCATGGGACCCCCTGGGCAGCCAGGTCACGAGGGCCGCAGAGGAGAGAAGGGGGAGAAAGGTATGAGAATGGCGGGGTAGTGACATCACAAGCTGGGAGCTGGGCTGGTCACTCCCAGCTGCCAGGTTCCTCAGAGGGGGGCACTGCTGTTGTACACGCAAGCAAAGATGTTAAGATGAAATCTTAACTGTATAAAGGAATGATATGGAAAAATGTATGAAGTCTGGGGAAGGGCATTTGTTAATACTACTACTAATAATAATAACAGTTACTGTTCATCTTTTTTCACCAAACAGGATCTAGACTGACATATGATATGTGAATGGGATTTGGATTTGTTTTCTCTGAAAAGACAGACCTTCCCATCCTGAAGCAAGCTAGATGTTAAAAGCTTTTGTAGATAGAAAAAATGAATTTTTGCCAGACCCCTACCAGACATGAGTATTTAACTCTGACAACAGCGTACAGTGTCATCTGTCTGCATGTAAAAACATGCTATGGAAACACTCCTGTTTAAGCTGCTTGTTTCAGTTCACCTTTTTTACATTTCAGGGGAGCTGGTTGTCCTTGGGCACAGGAAGAGGAGGAGCATTGGAGTTTAAAGGGTTAAACCAGAGACAGCATGCGCTGTGATTGGTGGAAATAAAGCAGGGATCACAATACCTTTCTTCTGTGGGTCTGTACTGACTACCACTTCATATATTGGTAGTGCCTTGGAGTTAGAAAACTACACTATCAGATTAACCAGTAGTGCAAAGCTTGCTTACACGGCAAATTACAGAGTATTAACATTTAACATTTTCAGATGCAGATTTTTGGGGGACCTTTCCTGTTTACATATGAAAGTGTTTTACAAGTTTTGCTTAGAACCTTTTATGCACTATTTGCTTAAACCAGGGGTAAAATATCATTTGAGATTGCTGAAGCCATATTTGAACTGTCAAAGGATACAGCGGATTTAATTGTGAATTTAAAATTAGCAACCAGTGTTGAGTTGGTAAATGATGATAAATGTGGATTTAAATGGAGTTTGTTACAGAAAGGGTGCAATCACAAATGTATATGTATTTTTTTACCATTTTTAGCATTTGTCTTGTAGGTCTTCTCCGGATATTATCTGTTTGCATAATATCTGTCT